AAGCTGATACTGTGTGGTACCCTCAGAGTTGTGGAGGTCACAAGTCAAAGAGAAATTGCTTTATTCAGCCTATGTGCTTGTTACAGCTCCTTCTACATCTTAAGTAAACTGCAGCTCAAACATCACTTGACCTATATAATAAATCCACAGTAAGCTTTATGTTAAAGAGAATAAAACAGGAAAATTTATACATTTCAAACTAGAGTTTTTCTAACTGTACTGTATCCCTAAAATGTACCAATAAACTCAAAGCTGTAAAAGAAAGAGTGAGAGAGAGAGAGAGAGAGAGAGAGTTAGGGAGGGAGATTAGGAACTAAAAAAAAAAGAAAGAAAAGAAAATTTCTTGGGAAAAAGACAAAAAGCAGAGGCATGATACCTTTCAGCCTATCAATCACAGGTCTTCTTTAAAAAAATACTGTAAAGGCCAGGGATTTAGCTCAGTGGTGTCACCGCCTGCATCCCAAGTGCAATGGAGAGAGAGAGAGAGAGAGAGTTAGGGAGGGAGATTAGGAACTAAAAAAAAAAGAAAGAAAAGAAAATTTCTTGGGAAAAAGACAAAAAGCAGAGGCATGATACCTTTCAGCCTATCAATCACAGGTCTTCTTTAAAAAAATACTGTAAAGGCCAGGGATTTAGCTCAGTGGTGTCACCGCCTGCATCCCAAGTGCAATGTCCTGAGTTTGATCTTGGGTACCAAAAAAAAAAAAAGTATTAAAAAGATACTATAATCACGTTTCTGGAGACACCAAAAAAAGAAAAAACCCAGCATACACTAACAGTAACAATCTTACAATGAGTTCGAATTCTACAAGCAGCAGTTACCATATACACACAAAAATTAACATCCCTATGAGGAGACACTTGCGCACACCAAATTAAAACATTTCTGGAACTGGGGTGGGGGAATAAACAGTAAATATAAATATATGACGTGGCTTTATGATGCCAAATTTAGAATACAGTGGCTAGCAAGCAAAACCAAGTTTGTGGTTTTAAGCTTTTAACAAATACATATGAAGAGTAGTAGTTTACACACCCATCCACCCTCCCACCCACAAACACACAAAAGGAAAAAAGGGAAACACTTGTTTTTATGCTTACTGTAGAGAAATTGAAGAGATAGCCTGGAAAAAAATACAAATAGCAGTTTTAAGTCTTTATTATGGTAGAAAGCAGCAGCCAACCCAGAAATAGGGATTATCTACTTTATTCACACATGGATATCATAGAAAAAAATGCTGCTTGGCCTAAAAATACCAACAAATGTCTCAGCAGCTGAAAATGTTTAGAGTCAAGAAAAATCAACAAATCTCAAGAAACTGAACTCAAAAGATGGCATTTTCCCCCACCAGCCCCATAATCCTAGGCTATGCTGTCACCTTTGAAAACTGTTCCAGAGTCACCTTCTTTCTGTGTAGCTGACACTGCAGCTGTGAAGGGCAGACTTCTAACTCGAAAATTCTATTTCAGTACTAGTATTCGTCATTCCAGGTCTTTTACAAATAATTTTGCATACTGGCAAAACAAACCTAAATAATTTGTACTGTTAGCTCAATCCCTTTTATTCTTCCAGATCCATCAAAGAAATGGGAAGTAAGTCTTCCAAGATTAGACAAGGTGGAATTCTACAAGGCATTTACCATGCTGCCTTTTGCCACCAGTATCAACTAAAGGCAAGTCTCAGCAAACTGTACCAAGTCGGGACATAATCAAGTGGTGCTACCTCTCAGCAATAGCTTTTCACAAGATCACCGAGGTACTAACAAAACAAAACAAAAGAATCATTTGAGATCTACAAAAGCACAGATAGGGAGTTTAGGTGTTTTCAAGATTATCATGCAGAAAATGCTCAAGTCAGCACAGCAAAACAGTTACGAAATCAGGATCCCACCACAGATTGCCTGGGTTATAATTCCAGCTGTGCCAAATGCCACTTAAGTTTCTTGGGGCAATGTGTTCTTTGTGCCTCAGTTTCTTCAATCTAGGATATAATGCCTCACAGGGACGATGTGAATCAACACTGCAAAGTACTTAGAATTGTGCTCACTTAACAGGTATCAAGAACTTTTAGTTGCTATTGTTATCACCACCACCACCACTATGCCACCAATCATAGATACTGTGCTAGAATTTAGGTAGGCACCTATATTCTGCTCTTTATATTCATAAGGACGTACAGTGGACCCTGAAGTTATGACCAGCTTCACATGAACAATTTGGGTTACAACTGGAATTTTAGTTTTAACTTACAAAGTCTTGAGTTATAGCATGAATGCCAGTCTTTCCCGTGTGAGGATGAGAAATCCTGGGCCGATGTCTCTCTAAGGACACTGGGATCTGCCTGGAAGAAAGTGTGGCCTAAAAGTATACAGGAGAAAGACTTCAAAGGCTGTGTAGAGGAGCCTGAGGCTTCAGTTGACCCTGTCACTACAGTACAGTCCACAGGTTTGCAGGCAGACAGTGACGATGTTGAATGACTGGTGGAGGAAGGCTCAGAGGAATGGTCTACAGAGGAACTTCAGCTACTTCCAGCTGAGCAACAGAGAATGGCAGCTGAGGAGCTTTCTGAAGAGGAGGGGGAGTATCAACAATCAGTGCGGCAAAGTTCTTTTTCTTTTCTTTCTTTCTTTCTTTTTTTTGGTTTTTTGAAACAGGGTCTCACTACGTAGTTGAGACTGACCTGGAACTTACTATGTAGGCCAGGCTGTTCTCGAACTCACAGCAATCCTCCTGCCTCAGCCTCCCGAGTGCTGGGATTACAAGCGTGCACCACCACGCCTGGCAACAAAGTTCTTCTGAAGCAAAGGAAATCCTGAAAAAATGGACAGAGCTACAAACATTTGTAGAGAAGATCCACCCAGAGAAAAAGCCAATCTTTGCGTTTACTTGCTTAATGATAATGTCATGTCATACTATAGAACAGTGTTAAAGAAAAGGCAGAAACAGACAACCAGTTTTTAGTTCTGAAAAGGCTGAGATCTAGCGAGCCAGAAGCAGGTCCTACAGGCTTCAGACTCTCCCAATGAGAGAAAGGACACCAGAGAGCCAGATTCCCAATGTTCTTATGGAAGGAGACTCTCTTCTCAAATAATAACTGCCTTCCACTCCATCCTCCCTTCCTGCAAGCTACAGCTGTCAACGTGAATGGTGAACACAGTATGAAATTATTGTTTCTGGTAAACTAGGCTCATTTTATAACTTTTTACTGAATACACTAGGAAAATTATTGGTGTTTCTGGTAAATTATGCACATTATACAAACTCTTTTATTATGAAAAGGTAAGGCCAGGGATTTAGCTTGGTGGTTCCACTGCCTGCCTTGCAAGTGCAAGGACCCAAGTTTGATCCCCAGTACCAAACCAAACCAAAAAAAAAAAAAAAAAAATCCCTTTCAGTGGAAAGGAATCAACAAAAAGGTTAAGGGTTTCTTTGGAAGGTTGGGAACACAATATGAGTATTTCCATCAATAATGGTAAAAATAGTATTGACTTACAACCAGCCTTCTCAAATGAATTGTGTTCATAAATCAAGGGTTCACTGTAGTACCTTTGCTTTTATTTTCTCACTCCTTAGCAGCCCTTTTGTTTCCCCCAAAGGTCTGATTCTGGGTGCCCAGAGAACCAGAAGCCAAGAATGTTTCTTCTTTTTTAGCAGTGGATCCTTGCCCATCAGAGCCTTGGAAGAGCATTCAGGAGATGAAAGTGGCCATGGCATGGCTATGCATTTATTTGCATAAGCCCTGAAATCTGTATCAGATATTCTATAGCCCTTTCTAACAGGCAAGAGAACCAAGACACAAGTCACTTGCTCAAGGTTGTTTTGCCAACATCATCTGCTAAACAGCTGATTTCATGGACCTGAGCCAAAATTTTTGTTGGCTAAACAAGGTCACTCAAAATTCCCAGTAAGAAAAAGTAGTAATACCTGAAATGGAAGGGAAAAATATAAACACCATATCTTAAGAAAATGAGATTCCATTCCTCCAGTATATTCCATGGTTTTATGATTTCCTGTGTTCATATTCTGCCTCTATACATCCATCTTATAAGCTAATCCTGCCACACTTTAAAAGCTCCTCCAAGACAAGACATCTCTCTCACATCTCATATCCAAAGGAATATTTGCACGGCTCAAACACTTGCCACTACTTAGTAATGACTTTTAAAATGTAACTGTAACCTGCTCACCATGACACTTACCTACTTGTTGAATGTTGGTTGAATGGGGAGATAAATCTGATGGATCCCTCAGAGATCTTAACACTATATATATGTACTAAAAAATTAACTAGACTTTATCCATAGCACTTATTCTTAGGTTATTTACGAGGTCCACACTACTTTGTCCTCACATCCTGTCTACAACAGTGCATCAGCTAGGGTGCATTACAAGCAACTGGCTTATCAACTGGGTTCCGAAGACATGCTCTAGAAAGCACCAGTACCCTTCACCAAAGTACACAGTTAAAACAAACAAACAAACAAACAAAAAACTGAAACTACAACTAGAGCCAACATCTATCTGCCTGGGCCTACAAATAACTACCATCAACATTTTATCTTCAAGTCAAGTGAGCCAAGGCAGCAATGGAAAAAGGAGACACTGAGATGACAAGGAATAACGTGCAGCTGTTCCCCTTCCCTCTCGCTTAGCTGCCATAACTTAAACTGTACAAATCTTAGGTATTGCCCTAAATACCTACCTAAACATGTTTCTTTTATGCTACAGGTTAATTCCTGTCTCAGGAGAAAGGAAGAAAGACAAGTTCTCATGATTATCTAAGCAGAAGCAAGTTGGGACAAAGCTCTGTAAACATATGTAACCATTTCCATCTGCTTTTGGTTCAGAGGTCTGTGAAGTGATTCAAATGAGCCCTTGACACCGTGAAGCAAAGCTGTCATGCACTGTCTGCCACTGAGTCACCGCTTTGTTACATCACAATGTGTGTTCCAGCAACAGGTATTTCAACTAGGAGCTCAAAACCAGAAGCCTTGCCATCACTGGCAGTGGATCAATAGCCACTGTCTCTATGGTCAAAAAGATCCTGATCCACTTATCACCTGAACTGAGGCTACTGTATGTCTCACATTACATTTCTCAGATACTTTAATTGCATTTGTCAAACATATCCACATGTGAATGCATTAAGTCCTGCCCTCTAAGTAAGATATGCAGAGGCATTACTCTTTCCTCTATTGCTATGCTCTTATAATACCAATGATAATCAAATTAGCCAACTCTATTTTTTTTTTGAGACAGGGTCTCACTATGTAGTTGAGGCTGACCTGGAACTCACTATGTAGCCCAGGCGGGTCTTGAACTCACAACAATCTTCCTGCCTTAGCCTCCCCAGTGCTGGGATTATAGGTGTGCACCACCACACCCAGCTTCCACTGCTTTTTAATGGAAGCATTTACGTCAACAGCAATAGCTTTATCAGAAATTGCTAGGTATTTGAATAATCTGACCAACGAGCCTTCCATATTTCACATGTATTCAGCCTGTACCTAGGTTAAGTGTGACATTTCTAAATACCCATGAATCTGGCTAATCTCTAATAAGAATAATCAAATACACAATGTTTTAGGTTTAAATTAAAAGCAACACAATCTATCCATGAGCAAGTGGAAGCTAGAGCATGCCGTGTTTTGTGTCCCCACCTACTTATAAAATACACGTCAAATTCAAAGAAATGCTGAAAATGTCCCCCTCTTGTACAGTTTTGCAGTTACCCCTTTCATCACTCACTGGTTAATTCCTCTCTAAAGAGGCATTTTGACCTTTGTAAATTTCAGGTTCCTCCACCCACAGAGAAGATACGACACAACCTAAAACTCAGAGCAACTGAGAGGATAAACAACATATTGGAAGGTACCTAGTTCATACCTGCTCATGATAGCATACAAAAACTTTTTCTTAAAGTCATGCTCAATGCAGAAGGAACACCTTGTGGTTTAACCTTTGTATCACAGGCATCAGCAGAGTGAGCAATGTGGTGGTAAGGCTGTGACCTCCAATCCCAAACCAGACTATACTGATCGCACTCTCACAGCACCACTAGTTTACTATGTGGCTAACGGCAAGCACGAGCCATCCCAGACACAGGACAGGCTGTGAGTGACTCAAGCAGGCGCTTATCAGCAACAGATGGGTTTTCTGACTGTGAGTGAGAAGAGCTGACCTCCACGAGCAGGTGGAAACCACATCATAAAATTCACCACTCAGAGGGTAAGATGTTTTCTGAGCAGCTCTCGCTAAGGAAGTTGCTTTAAAGCAGACTCAAGAAACTGACTGCTGTTAGATGACTTCCCATGCCCACACCCAGCCACACCTACATGCTCCCAGATAACTATCTGTGGAGGGGTAGAGTGAGTAATGGTTTAATACTAGGGCTTTGTGAAGACAGGCAGGTGTGCATGCCAGCTCCACCACTTAATAGCTGCTTGAGAAATTACTTCATTTCTTCATGCCTGAGTTTCCTCATCTGTAGCATATCGTTTCCCTTCCTAACTCCAACATTCTTCTGAGTTTAAAGATACAAAGCATATAGTAAATAGTAGAGTTTGGTGCATACTCAAATGAAGGAGGCTGTTGTCCTTGGAATAGTTCTCTTTCCTTCATCACCAGGTGTCAGACTAGTTGAGTGAACCTGAGAAGATGCCCTTGAAATTTGTTCACCCTCAGAAAAATTATTGTATTTGATTATGAAATTGTACTTTTATTGGAGGTTTATATACTTGTTATAATTGAATCTCACAGTAATCCTGGAAGAACAGGGAAGGCAGCTGTCCTCCATTTTACAAGTGTATAAAAGCCACCCCCGCCTACATACACCCACTAAAATCCTACTACATTGAGCCCCACCTGTGTGCCTGTCTCGTTTGTGAACTTCCTGAGGGAAGGGATAGAAATAGTATGCCTGTAACCCTACTGCCTACTGAAGAGCTGGAGACATAACCTTCATAAAGCAAAATATTATCAGAGACTGAATTATAAGAATCATAATTTTTCTAAGAACCAGGCCTCCTTATCTAATAGGAGTTATTTGTTTTTAATGCAGAGAACCCTGACAAGTAAGTTACACTGTGAATTCCCACTGTAAAGTGTGGTGTGGGGGAGATATCTGTAATCAGCTGCTGGATCACTACTGACCTGTTTCACTTTTCTGTTCCTGAAATACTGAGCAGAAAGAAATGCTGTTCCTTATCAAACTGAGAGAGGCAGGATCAATGACATAAGTGATGAGCTCACAGGAAATGAGGTAAGAAAGGTCACTTTGCCTAATGACAAGGGGTGAGATAAGTAAGGCTGGATCTGGGCTGGCCTTCCCACCTAACTCCAAGATGCTGTGGCAGACAATAACAAAGGTGGTAAGCTCTGGGAACTGCTTCCCACGGCCCCCACACCCCACTGTTTTCACCTGGGGCTTACACGGAGATGCCACTGGCACCTAGAGGCACCCTGGTACCCATCCCTCAAATCCATCCATCTCTCCCAAAAGCCATGTAAATTTACCACCCCTATAAAAATACAGTATGTGGTTCTGTGGCCAAGAACTCAGTCAAGTGGGCTACAGTCAAGCCCACTGCTGTATGACTATGATTTTTAAAACTTGCTTCCTTGTTTCAAGTAAAAAATAATTTCTAGTTTTAAAACTGAAATCATATATATCTGCAGAAGAAACAAAGCTTTTTTTTAAGTGGGGGGTAGGAAGGCATCACAGGCTGGGAAGTAGTTCTTGGGCCAAAATTAGTTTCTCTCGGATACGTCTTCATTTTCTAGGCCAACCATGCACATTAATCTCTTATCTAAATTTCTGAGGCCCTGCCTCTGTTTGCTCAGAGCAGGATTTAACTGCCTGACTTCTAGAAAGTATTACTCATTCTGTATCTCTATGAGCAAAGACACATTTGCAGTTAGGAAAGTTGTGTTTGCTTTATGATCACATAATATAAAAAGATAAATGGCTACCACACCCAGAAAAATGAGTCCCAGTTTCATAGGGTACATTTTTTTGCTATGTAGCTAGATTACATTAGTGAAACCCTTCAATTTTTTCCCTGCCCAAATACTCCTGTCTGTTCCACTCCAAGGAAAAAGAGAAAATGAAAGACAATTTAATATCTAACTTCCAGGATACTAGTTCTATTCCCCCAAGCACTTTAGTACTTGAATATATGTGACCTTTTTTCTCCTCCCAACAAAGTTAATCCCTAGCACCTGCAGAGTCCTAGAGAGTCCATTCACAGGAGGCCCTTCAAATAGATCAGTGGGGGTGTGGGATGTTGTCTCTAGGGTCATACCAAACTTATCAAAAACTGTAAATAGATAGGCTCAGCCTAAGCCAAGTCACATCTGGAGTTTTAGTTTGTGTACATCAGAGAGACAGTCATTATCATGAGTGATTCACTCTTTTATTCAACACAATATTTATTAAGTAACTGTGATGCCGCCAATCTTCTGAAGGGAGAAGCAACAATCAAGAGGAAGATCATCTAACTCAGTTTACAATTCCATGTTTTGCTCCATTACTTTATTCACTCATTCATGAGACATTTATTTATGTGCTAAGCTGCCAGGGAAAAACAGATGAATGTGCACACAGATGATGTCCTCCTGGGAGTTCACAAATCTTCACCTGAGTGTACACAGTAATAGGCAACCTCACACATAATTAGGGTAACTCCACCCCCTGGTGTGCCTGGGACTGAGGGAGATACCCTGGACGTGGAGTGTTCAATGCTAAACCAAAAAGTTCACTAGCAAACCAGGATGGAATGGTCACTAGCAGAACCAAAGTATCTGAATGCTGACTTCTGTGAATTCATGGCCCACGTGCTTTTCACCACACTCATGTTTGTACTATGAGAGATAACGTCCTTGACAGCCCTGCGCACCATACCACTGTCCCCCCCCACCCCCGAGACACTACCAGACTGCACAGCTGAGAGTTCATCTGCTCAGCAGTTGTTTGCAGATAATATATAATCTGTCCTTTACCACTGTGAGAATAAATTTTATAGTGTTGTTTAAAATTCTATAGGAATAAATGTCTCCCTCAATAGAAATCAGAGCACCACATTCAAGCACCAAAACATACTATGTGCTAAATGCATAGTCACAGCTCAGAAACTCTTGAATATACTTGAGCTAGTGACATATAGAAACTCACTGGCATTTAATAGTTCAACAAACTAAACAGAATTCAAAGACATTGTACACTTTAAAACAGACTTTCAAAAACAAAAACACAAGAGACCTTCAAAGCTTTTTTTAATTAAAAAGAAACCCAATTCAAAAACGCTAAGGCCACATTTCAGGAGATCATAACCACCAACTGCGTGCATATATATCAAGGCCACCAAATTACTGCCTGTGGTTTGTATAAGGATGATCAAGTAAAACACACCCACACACACACCCACACACACTACAACTGATATTTCCTTAGAACAATAGCTGACTCCAAAATTCCAATGTAACTGCACTCTTGGGGGTCCTTGCCACCAGAGAAACACAGCCTCCAGGCTTTTATGTTTTGCTCATATTCTTCATGAACAAAGTATGTGTGCCTCAGTGATCCTCGAATGAGCTTTCCACTTACATCACTTCAGCATTAAAAAGGCCAAGTCTTTCACAAGGTCTCTGTGAAACCAACTACAGACCAGCCTGTGTGTCTCCATGCTACTGTGACTACTGTATTTGCTACTTAGGGATCTTATGCCTCTTGAAACCAGGGTTGGGGAGAGAGAAAGGGTAAGAAAGGCCTTTCCAAAGCAAACAGTAGAGGCATTCAAGGTCTCCATGGAGGACGGTCAACATTAGTTTGGCCATAGTAGTGTTTTCTGACAAAGGCAGCCCTCTGATCAAGGGCTGGATGTTCTGGTTCCAGCAGTAGTTGCTCCAGATGCTTTTCATGAACTTAGGAGAGGCACCTCCACTGTGACCCTCAACCTAACTCAAAAGTCACCTGGACCCAACTGACTGCTATCAGCCTGTGTTCTTTGTAAAGGAGAAAGAGGGTGCTGCACTTGGGTGTATTTTCGGGGAAGCTAACATTCTTCTAACACAAAGAAGGAAACCACACCCAGAGAGATTTCAGGGTAAGGGTAGGGGTGGGGGGTGGGGGAGCTGAGAAACTCCACTCAAGTTCAGAAAAGTGAAAGTCCTGCTTTGCCATGTAGCCAGGACCGCCGCTAATAATGGCTGCCATGGATTAATGAGCACTTACTATATACTAGCCAAGCTAGTTTTCACAATCTCAGAATTCTCAGAACAATCTCATGGCACAAAATTTGTATTACTTTTATTCCAGAGATGAGGAAACAGGCTAAGACTGGTAAATAAACTGCTCTGATTTGCAAAGCAAATAGGCAAAATTTAACAAGAAACAGAGAAACGATCACGCCTGAAATGATTAAGATACAATGTTGAGTAAAAACTAAAAAATGAGAAGTCTACAAAAATCTGAATACATGCTGATTACCAGAGCTAAACTGTATGTATAGGAAGTACTATTGGAAAGTCAAACTTCGGTGGGATTGTAGGATCTTATACAAACTATTCTTATTTCCTCATCTGGGAAGAGTAAGCAGCCCTTGCGGTGGCTGTGGAGATTAAATCAAGTTAGCTGTATTAATAAGGGTGACCAATCCATCTTGATATTAAAATGATTGGAGTAATACAAAGAAACAATTAGAATTTAACTTTGTTAATGACCCTCAACCCTGCCCTTGAGAGACCTTCATCTGATTCACCTCTAGACAACTGGTGCTTCCCCTGCCTGCCTCTTCCTGTCAAGAGGATCTGCAGAGGTGCCAGCCAAGAACAGCGGTTTCTTACCTCTGCTGCCCTTTTCTTTCTCCTAAGGTGTAAAACTCTGGACAAGTCTTAACTGGTGCTTTTTGTCCCCTATCTAATAATTTTGTTCCCTATCTAGCCATTTTAGAGGGTCACCTGCAGAATCACAAAATGAGCGCTTATCAAAAACCAGGTATCTCAAATCCATTTTTAATACCAAAGCCTCTGAAGGC